ACTCCCCAGCAAAGAGATGTCCTGACAGAGAGATGGCAGCAGTGGAACCAAGAGGCATGAGACAAAGTGAGGGGCTTACCTAGCCCACAGAGTAAGAAAACTGAGTGTACTTGGACAGGAGGCTTGCTGGTGGAGTGGGATGCACCTAGGTGAACCTATCAGCAGAGCTGAAAGAGCTTTGTAACAAGCAGGGCAGACGCGAGGCCAAGAGGTCAAGGGCCAGAGAGGCATGTCTGAGGGCATGGCAGAGGGGAGACTGCCCTGATCAAAGAATTGTTTCCTGAGCACATTCCTGAATCTGAACTGTAGCCTGTTCACTCACTTACTGCTGTCAAGTCAGATCTGACACATAACGACCCCTCCTTGGGTTTCTGAGGAAGTAGATTGCCCAATCTTCCTTCTGAGGAGTGCCTGGTGAGTTTGAACTGCCAGCCTTCTGGTTAGCAGTCCAGTGCCTTAGGCACTATGCTACCAGAGCTCCTAATTAACCCCATAATCATGAGTATTGTCTGTGAGTTCTGTGTGGCCATTGCAATGAGTTATGGAACCCAGCAGAGAAGTGGTGAGTGCCTTAGGAGGGACAGTTGGTATCAGAATTGGTGAAAAGCTGGAGGGTGGCAGCATGTCTGGCCTCATAGAAATAAGCCTTGGGCTGCTGATGGTGATTCTATCTTCCTTTTATGAAGTTAGAGGAGGTCAGAAGAGTTTGCCTTCATGTCATTTTTGCAGGTTGCTTTATAATGCCTTTGGGATTTGTTAAATATAGTGCTTAGACAACCAGATATTTTCTGGCCTTGTGTCCAGTAGTTTCTTTCTTTCTTTTTTTAGGTCTTATATTTTCTAACTAATTATATCTTTAGATGAAGTTTATTTGTTGAGTTATCCACTTATTTGTTATTTAAATTTCTACTGTGATATACTATATACGTGCATAACTTAAGTATATTTTCAGACTGGAGAAGTAGCTTTTCCCATCTTAAATGATTAATATGAACATAATAAGTGCCACAAAGCTCTCTTTCAAAGTTACTCTATATTCCCTTTCTAATTTTGAGTCAAGTGCTGAAAATTAGTTCTATAGGCTAACATTTCTTCTCAAGTGAACAACATATTTTCATGGGGCCCTTAGGCATTGGTAGGAAATAAAAGGTCTGAAATGCATAGATTGTGGTGGACAAACTAGTAGAATCTAGCTATGTGAGCTATAACAAAACCCACCAAATCAAACCCATTGACCATCCAGTCAACTCCAACTCAGAGCAACACTGCAGGACAGAGTAGAACTGCCCCCATAGGGTTTCCAAGGCTGTATGTAAATCTTTGCGGAAGCAGACTGCCTCATCTTTCTTCTGTAGAGCAGCTGTGGGGTTCAAACTGCTGAACTTTTGGTTAGCAGCTGTGTACTTTAACCACTCCTTGAGCTATAACAAAATGGGAGAACTTCTTAATCAGAAGCCTTTGGGAGTCGATGGATTGATCTAAACAGGTGAGAGTAGAAGAAAGGCTGTGGTGTTGCTGGATACAGGGCAATGTTAGTAAGCTGGAATCTGGTGGATGCCAAGGAGGGTTGCGGGGAGGTAGGCTAAAGTTGTCAGGATATATGAAGCAAAAGAGTGTATCCAGTAGTAATTGGAAACTGGATTCTCTAAAAGAGCAACTTGAGTCAGGTACCAAAGAGGCTAAAGAAAAGGCAGGGCTTAGGCACTGGAGCCATAACCTGGGTGGAACACAATGTGCTGTTGCTGTTCTGGAAGCCTGGAGCAACTTAAAGCCCTCAGTTATCACCTGGAGAAAGTGGCATGTGGAAGGCATTGAAGACAAATACTTCCACTTCACTATTTCATGTGGTTACAAATATCCCATTATTTAAACGGTTTTCTACTATGTTACTATGTGAACAAAATAGTCATGTTCACAATGACTATTTACAATCTACAAAAGCACCAGTTAACATTTTATTCCCTACTATAGTTCCTTTCTTTTCTCATTGCTCTGTCCCCATAAAGTGGTAAAACCACAGACACATATAATCAGCTTTCTCAACACATTCCATTTGAGCGTTTTTATAGATTGTGTTGAGTGCCAAGGTTATTATGGGTGTGCAAATATAAATTGATTATGAAGTGATTCAAATCTTGTTTTTACAATTCAAAGTGTCTAGGGTGATATAAACTAATTTACATTTAATTAAAAGTAAAAAGCATCCTGTGTGGAAATTTTGGGCAAAATAATACTGAGGCCATAACTCAGTGGCAGTTTATTTTCAAGCATGTGAAAACACAGACAGTGCTACATTTGGGTTCTCAGAGAAAACTTCATTTCCACTCTCATACACACAAAGAGCCCACAGGGGTAAATGGAAATACAAGTCAAAACAACAACAACAACAACAACAATTTTGTCTTAGCTACGTATGTATTTTGGAGAGTCTGAGTCAACTCAATCCCTTTATAGCTTTGTGGCCAAATATCTAGAGAAAAGTAGCTCTTTGATACATTTAGAACATCACTTTGAGTAATGGTTCAGAAAGGTAAGTATCAGCTGAGCCAGTAAGCTTTCTCATCAACCCAAAAGCTATTTTGTTGACTAATTATTTCTAACTCTGGGCCAAATAGAGCTCAGGATTTGCCCCCTTTAAGGTTTCAGAGGAAATAGAGAACAATCTGGTGTGTAACTATCAACAGTTTTTTAGGCTCAATCATAGAAATATTTTGTTTAATATGGAACAAGAGGTCACATTCACTGGAACTGGAAATAAGGAAATTTTGATATTAACATGTATTCTGGAGGATCGGTTTTCATGCTATCAAAAGATAGACAAAGCATTCAGGGAAAAATCTTATTTTCCAATTCTAACTTAAGATTTGTTTTTCTAAAATAACTTCCCTTTCATGGCCCAGCATTATCTCACCTCATAAATGAAGTATTTGGTTACTTCACTCCACAGATATCACTCTTATCAACTCATAGCGTAGTGTGTAAGGCACTTGTCTGCTAACCAGAAGGCTGGCGGTTCAAACCCACCAGCCACTCCTCGGAAGGAAGATGTCTACTTCCATAGTGATACTGCCTCGGAAACTGAAGGAGGGGTTGCTATGAGTCGGGTCCGACTCAACAGCACATAACAACAACAACAACAAGAAGCATTTATTGCCTCTATATAGTCAGGTCAAGGAGCTCTGATGGTATAGTGGTTAAGGCATTTGGCTGCTAACAAAAAGGTCAGTGGTTCGCACCAACCAGGTTCTCCATGGAAGAAAGATGGGGCAATCTGCTTCCATAAAGATTTATAGCCTTGGAAACCAGTGAATTTGGTTTTGTTTATATAGTTAGGTCACCTTATAATCATACTATTTTCTTCACATCATATAAGCAATTTCCTGTTAGTTGTATCACAACCACTATGTTGTAAGCTCCTTGTAGGGAGCAGCATGTATTTTTGCATTACTTACTAAGTGTAAGGCACTGTTATAAGTGCTTCACAAATATTAACTCACATAATTATTAATCTGTGCATGTTCTATAGTGCCAAAGGCATTTGACTGCTAACCAGAAGGCTGGCGGTTCAAATCCACCAGCTACTCCTTGGAAGGAAGGTTAAGCAATCTACTTCTGTAGTGACACTGCCTTGGAAACCCAAGGAGAGGTCTCTATGAGTGGGATCCGACTTGATGGCAGTGAGTGATAGAGCATAGCACGTGCTTTGCATGTGGGAGACATAAAGTATCTGTGGAATGAATTTCACACCACTTAAGCATTTCCCAAAGACTCTCTTACTCTGTCTGGAATGTTACAAAAGGAGCAGATTACTCTAGGGACCCTTAATGAGAAGGATTGACTTAAAAGCTGCAACAAAGGACTGAAACACACTAACAGTCATGAAAGGGCTGAGGACCAGTAAGGTTTAGTTCTGTTACACAAAAGATGCCAAGAGTTGGAGGCTACCCAATGCTGATTAACAGCAGCAATACTCTAGGTAAATGCCTTGGGCCATAATTTGACACTCCTCAAAACCTCCATCCAGTAATTTCCAGTTCAAGGCAACCCAGTGTGTTACAGAGTAGAACTGATCCATAGGTTTTTCTTAGCTGTAATCTTTATTGACGCACAGTGGCATCACTAAGGTTGGTGCCCCCCAGTGTTGTAACTCATGGTGTCATCTCCCCCTCACAGACCTCCTCTCGTACCAAACTATACAGAATCTGTACTAATGTTTATTATCAATTTTAATCATAGAAAATATGTGATACATATAGTTGTGAATTTCTTAAGTGTAAAATTTTCTTAGATTATATGAATATTAACAACAAAATTGTCGTGTAAAATCTTTCTACATTAAATTATAACATTTGCAACCAAGCAGAAGTCGTTCTGATTTTTCTTCTTTTTCCTTTAATTATTACTTCATTCTCAAAAAAGTTATTGATGTAAGTTCACAAATACCAACTGCTAGGAGGCCAGGCAAGGAGTTCTGGTGGCGCAGTGGTTAAAGCTTTGGGCTGTTAACCAGAATGTCTATTTGAACCCACCAGCCTAGGAGGGAGAATGATGAGGCAGGCACTCTGCTTCTGTAAAGATTTATAACCTCAGAAACCCTATGGGATGTTGTTGTTGTTATGTGCTATTGAGTCAGACCCGACTCATAGCAACTCCTCCTTGGGTTTCTGAGGCTGTATCACTACGTAAGTAGAGTGCCCTATCTTCCTTCTGAGGAGTGGCTGGTGGGTTTGAACAGCCAGTCTTCTGGTTAGCAGTCAAGTGCCTTAGGCACTATGCTACCAGAGCTCTTCCCTATGGGATAGTTGTACTGTGCTCTATAGGGGAGTCATACAAATCAGAAAATTGACTCCTTGGCAGTAGGTTTGGTTTGGCATGGCACGGTTTAGGAAGCCCCGCCAGTCACGGTAGGGCGGGGTCAACGACGGAGCGGGGCGGGGCCGAAGACGGGGAGGGGCGGGGTCAGGCCAATGGGGCGGGGCGCACGGCGGTGCCAGGCGGCGATGGCGGCGGACGGGGACTGGCAGGATTTCTATGAGTTTCAGGAGCCGGCCCAGAGCCTCCAGGACCAGGAGAACTGTAACGCAAGCCTCGAAGCCGGAGCTGGGGCGTGCGGGGGAGGCGACAGCTTCCCGGCGCTGGCCTGCAGTTTGGAAGAGAAGCTGAGCCTGTGTTTCCGCCCCTCGGGCGCGGGCCCCGAGCCCCCGCGGGCGGCCGTGCGGCCCATCACGGAGCGTAGCCTCCTACAGGGGGACGAGTGAGTGCGGGCAAGCGGGCAGGCGGGCGGGACCTCCCTGCCTTCGCCCTGCCGCTGGCTCTGGACTGCAGCCTCGGTGGGACTCCTGCCGGAGGCTCCACCCCGCACCCTCCTTCCGCCTCCTTTGACCAGGAGTCACCGCCCTCTCCCTGCTCTCCCACCTCCTTCTTCCGCGCTTTCGGCCTCTGCAGCCTCAGCAACCTGGGCGATTTAAATCTCTTCTTCCTTTCATTCCACGCTCCCTTAAAATCTCCGCCACTGTCCCTTTTTTCCCTTTCTTCATAGAAAGGGAATCTATGTGTGATTTAGAGGGAATCTTCTTGTACCAAGCCCGTAGTGAGAGATCGTACCTTCTCGGGCACGTGTGTAGCGGTTCATTCAGCCAACTAATATTTATTAAGGAGCTCTGTTAGCGTAGTGTCTAAGGCATTTGACAGCTAACCGGAAGGCTGGCGGTTCAAACCCACCAGTCACTCCTGGGAAGGAAGGTTGGGCAATCTACGTCCCTAGAGATACTGCCTCGGAAACCTAAGGAGGGGTCGCTATGAGTCGGTCCGACTCGAAGGCACATCACAACAACACAACAACAACAACAACAACAAGCATTTATTAAGCTCCTGTTAAGTGCCGGACGCTGCCCTAGCATTAGGAATACGAAGATGACTTGACATTGTTCTTCTAAAGCAGGACACAGCCTAGGGTGGGAGATTGGTTTGTAAACAAATACTTGCATGGTATAAGTGCTTTAATGGTTATGTATGTACAAAAAATGAGATTTAAACGGTGTATGTGGGAGAATCAGGAAAGCTTTCATAGAGAAAGGTGTGAAAACTGGAGCCTGATGGAGTTTGCCTGATGGGCAAAGCAAAGTCTAGCATTCTGGACTGATATCCCGTGCAGAAGTACTAAAGTGTGAAGCAGTATTTATGCCACAAGTATTTATTGGTCCTTGCAGTGTTCCCAGGTAGAGTGTAAGCTGCCACAGAGGCAAAAAGGAAGGGCTCTGGTTATTAATGGTAAAGATCTCACAGCGAGGAGGGGAATCCAATGCATAAACAATGAACAGAACCACCTAAGTGCAGAGATCAGAAATTCAGTGATTTATGAGATTTGGGGAGGAGGAGCAGGCGCAGAGTTCCTGGGGCCCTTTATTTAACCACCCTGAGCCCCAGTTATAATGTGGTTGACTATGAGTTGTAATTACAGAGGAGCATTTTACGTCAGAATATGGTTAAATGTGAGAGTGAGGGAACTGAGCCTACTGTGTATATGTGAGGGAGAGGAGCTACTGAAGAGGCTAAAGGTAGACCTAAAGGAGTGAGGACCTAGGACATGGGTAGGGATGGTTTTCAGAGCACTGGTGGGGTGAAGAGATTAGGGAAACATTCTACTTGAGAGAGGGAGATCCATGGCATAGAATGGTGCTTCCAGCCTGCTGGCCTTGGTTTCCTCTGTGAACCAGGAGTAGACCAGGGTTGAAGTAGGGAATTGGATTAGAGTTGGGAATGAGGGCCTGTAAACAGTGCTAAGCAGATTATGGCCCAGCAGTGCTTGGAGACCATATCTTTTTTTTTTTTAAATACACTTCAGTTTTTAGAGCAGTTTTAGGTTTACGGAAAGATGATTCAGAGTGTTGATAGGTGCCGCCAAATTAATTTCAGCTTGTAGTGATCCTATGTGACAAAGTAGAACTGCCCCCGCAGGGTTTTCTAGGAGCAGATTGCCAAGTCTGTCTTCCACAGAGCTACTGGATGGGTTTTGAACTTCTGCCCTTTTGGTTAGCAGCCAAACACGTAACCATTGTAGCACCAGGGATCCTTACACAGGGAAGTATACAGTTCAGGTATACCCCTTCTCCCCCAGGCACACTGTTTCTTCTCTTAACATCTTGCATTCCTATGGTACATGTGTTACAATTGGTGAGTGGGTATTGATATGTTGTTGTTATGTGCTGTCGAGTCGGCCCCGACTCATAGCGACCCCTCCTTGGGTTTCCGAGGCAGTATCACTACGGAAGTAGATTGCCCCATC